CCCTGTACACACCCATGCATCAAGCGCCCACTTCCTCTTGCCCTTCCCCGGCCCACAAGTTTCTATTTACGTCTTTGTCTGGATTGGCTGTGGTCGCAAGCAACACTTCACTATACTCGGGTGTAGTAAGGGGGAAGTGGAAAGGCAATATTATGGCTACAACAACTTGTCTTGACGATCCCACGAACCTCATCAACCTCCGCGGTGGCGATGGCTGAGTGAGACATGTTCTCTCTCTCTCGCGCGCGGTTGGTCCCGATCCCCCCCCCCTCCTCTTTGCTCACAACCATCCTACCCAACGTTGTTCGATGCCTTTCAGCCCTACAATCTCTGTGTGATAACTTTCGAATTGTGGGTGTCCCAACTCTCACGACTCTTTAGTGTGATGAAGACTTCGCGTGGTCGTGGCGTGTCACTGAGCGAGCTCACGCTGATCATAATCGTTGTAATGATGTCTGTTGTGCCGAGCATGTTCGTCGTGGCGATCATGGTTTGTTGTTGTGATCATGACCGCTCGTGGGTCGTTGTTGTGATCATGACCGCTCGTGGTGGTCATGGTGGGTGGGATCGTGAATGCCCGAAAAATTGTGGTTGACGTGTGGCATGTAACATCTCTGTAGCTGATATAAGAGAGTAAGTTCCAGTGGCACAGTGAGACAGGGGAAGAGAGTGTGTTTTTTTTTTTCCCAACTTTTTATTTTTTATTTTTTTATTTTGACTTGATTGGATATGATTGCACTTGATGTTGATTGGATTTGATTGGATTCGATTTGATTCGATTTGATTCGATTTGATTAGCTATGATCAGAATCGATTTTGCCCTAAATGGAACCTGGATTAATCCAATCGGTTTGACCTAACTTGCTCGACTCAGGGAAGGCTTGCAGCGACCTCTTCTTGGGGGGGGCCCTCTTCAGTCAGGACGCTTCTGCTCTTCGTCGAAGGACCTGACGTTTCGCCACGTGGCAGGGGTGTGGGGGAACCTCAGTTTTAGTGGGAAGAGGCGTTTTTTTCCTGTGTTAGCTCTCTCCTTCTCAAATCATGGACAAAATGCTTTCCCGTCTGTCTACGATTACTCCAGGCTCTCACCTAGTTTGGTTTGTCCCCCCTTTTTTTTTCCCTTTTTTTTCCTTTTTTTTCCCTTTTTTTTCTTTTTCTTTCCTTTTTTTTTTCTTTTTTTTTCCTTTTTCTGTCCTTTTTTTTTTCCGTTTCTTTTCCTTTTTTTTCCTTCTTAATCAAGCTTGAGGACGGCGCTGATCGCGTATCCATCTAACCGCCGTTACTTTCTCAGGGGGTTAGGGTTTTTGACATGGTGGGGATTGTCTGATGGTTTACATCAACCTGGGTAGATGTTGAGATTTGATTGCATGTCCGTCTTCACAGCTCAGATGGTGCACTTAATCCCCTTCCCCAACAAGGGCAATCAATGCAGACCATCGTTACGATGCTATCGACAAATCACTATAGGCACCTATGTTGTAGTTGGGACGCTGGACCCCGTTTCCAGCAAGTGCAGCTCCCCACCAATAGATTGGAGCCATTTTCTCCTTGAAAAAAAAATAATAATAAAAAATAAATAAAAAAAGGGAACAAAGAGTTTCGATTTTCGACTTGGCCTGTGTTTTTTGTCCTTTACGAAGCTGAACCAATAAGTCAGTGATTTTTTGTTTTGTTTTTTTTTCTTCAGGTTTTTAGCTAGGTGTTTCGTTGATATCAAGATCATGTATTGCATCCTCTCTGTACTACGCTATCTAACCTCTCTCTCCCGCTCCCTCCCTTTCAAACCGTCACAATCTTATCGATTGTGGATGAACACTTAGCAAGAAAATGAGGTAACACTGTTGACCGTTGTGATCGTGAGCACTCTTGGCGGTGATCGGGGTTTTGATCCTGGTGGTACTTGGGCCGTGGAGCTTGAACGGCCGCATGGGCCGGGGCGCAAGAGACAGTCGTGCTCGTGGTGGCTTGTGGTGGTGATTGTGGTTATATGGGTGTGGTGGTGGCGAGGGGGGTCGTGGTTGTGGTGGTGAGGGGGGTCGTGCTCGTGGTGGCTTGTGGTGGTGAGGGGNTCGTGGTGGCTTGTGGTGGTGATTGTGGTTATATGGGTGTGGTAGTGAGGGGGGTCGTGGTCGTGGTGGCTTGTGGTGGTGAGGGGGGTCGTGGTCGTGGTGGCCTGTGGTGGTGAGGGGGGTCGTGGTCGTGGTGGCTTGTGGTGGTGAGGGGGGCCGTGGTTGTGGTGGTCAGGGGTCACGATTACGATCATAGAGTGCTCGCGGTGGACATGTTACGCATGACATCTCTGACTGTAAGAAGGGGTTGGGTTGATTGGTGGTGACAAAGAGGGAAAGAGAGTGTCGAGATTTTCTGATTGCATTTGTCTCGTTTGGCCTGTCTGAAGTTAGTGGATGCACATGTCAGCTACAAGAAAGATGAAGGAAGACGAAGAAAGTTGAGCATGGCGGGCAACATTAAGGCGCACCAAGGACTGGGGGTGCAGAAAAAGAGGGGCAAATTTTGGTTGCACAGCATGCCCGAGCAAGAAGCAGGGAGCCTACATCTTGAGGGCCTGAGGACCCTTTTTTTTTACTAAAACAAAAACAAAAAAAAATAATAATAATAATGAAGGTATTTAAAAATTGTAAATTTTCTATAATGAAAATCCTAACTATACGCGCATATTCAACCAAAGAAAAATAAAAGTCCGTCCGCCCAAGTTGGGGCTCATGGACTTTCCAACCAAATGATGCAAAAATAAAAGTCGAGAACGAGACAAATAACGTCATCCAATTTCTGCTCTGCTATGCTAACGCCCATCCTAAGGGCAGACTCACACCAGCGCTCTCAAAAATGCATTAGTTTAATATCTGATCTGTGATCCATCGCGCCAAAAAAAAAAAAAAAAAAAAAAAAAAAAAAGGCATCTGACTCCAATTACAGTCAGACCTTGATGCATCTGGCCGCAATCACGCCCATAAACAAGTCAAAAAGTAAGTCCTACTGTGAGTATCCTCTAATTGCAAAACTACACGGGAACAAAAGGAACGGACCAAGTGGCAAGGTAGGGAATTACCCTCCTCACATCGCAGATCGGATTGCAATACAAAGTTTCTAAAGTTTCAAAAATTAGAGGCAACTTGATTAAAAAAAAAAAAAACAGGCAACTTGATTATTTTCGAAACTTTACGACAAGTGGGCAACTTAATCAAAAAAAAAAAAAAAAAAAAAGGCAACTTCATTTACACAGGCCTCTCTCTTTGTACGAGGCCGCTTTTTCTAGATCACCCCGAGATCCGCATGTGTACAGATCCTCCTAGTTCGTCAAGAGTTAAAAGACAGTCATGCAAGTCTCAGTTTTTCTCAGTTCAGCTATTCTTATGTATTTCTCTATACTACACAATGTATACAAGGGACGCTGGACCCGGTTCGCAGCAGGTGACGCTCGCCACCAATGGAGCGGTCAGTTAAAAATAAAAAAAATTAAAAAAATCATCATCATCATCATCATCATCATCATCATCATCATCATCACAAAAAAGAAGAAGAAAAAAAAAATCACAAAAAGAAGGAAAGAAAAAAAATAAAGTTCATCACATCACAGGGCCTCATTTGAAGGGTCAACCCCCGCAAGCAGATGGTTCTTCTGTCCTGGGTGGATGCCACCACCCAGTTTTCCCTTCCTTTCAGATTCCGGACTTTCAATCCACCTTTTCTCTTCTCCTTCATGCCCCCCCCTCCCCCTCTTCCCGTCCATCTCACCATCTGCTTTGACATGTTATCCCCAAAACTTGTAGGCTTGTAATTTTTTTTGTTCTCCTTGCTACCCTCTTCAGTCCTGCTTCAAAGACCTCTCTTGGGTATCATCCCCATTTAAACCCCAATTCCTTGATCAGTATAACAACGCTCCGCCATTCTGTGAAGTTCGGATTTGTATTATCCACAATCCTCCAGATTGTTTTGGACACCGACGCCAACTTTTGAGCTGCAAACTTTTGAGCCAAAAGAGCTTAGGAGTAGAACCACTTCACTGTTTTGAACCGTCATGTTGTTCCTTCTCTTATTGTGCCCCAAGTTTGAAGCTTTATGAAAAGTAAAAATCCAAGTTGGTACATCCGTGATGACCGACCTGGTTTCCAATTATTCCAGTATATGACACTTCCAGCTCGGTCTTTTCAAGTAAAAAGTTGTTGGGATGGTATCTATCGATTTGTGCCAGCATCTTGTAAAAGACATGATCCATGACTTTCTCCCATCATAAAAAAGACACCTGTTTTGTCTGATAGGAGTGGTGATATGAGCATCCACGCCTATCAGGCTCATGGGAGACTCCAGTCTATTGGTGGGGAGTAGCACCTGTTGGAAAGTTGGTCCACAATCTCCCTCCCTCTCTCTCTCTCTCTCTCTCTCTCTCTCTCTCTCTCTC